TATAGCAGGAGTTACACTTAAAAAGTACTCAAGTTTAAATTGGTGTCTCCACATAACCAGAGCAGTAATCTTTGGAACTGGAGTTGTCTCTGTAGGCAAATTCCTGGCGCCTCTAACAACATTTCTAAGGCTTTGAGGAGCATAAATTGAACCTGAAGAGGTGTCATGACCTGCCATCTGGACTATAAAATTTAGATCAGGGTGCAGTAGTAACTATTTAGTACTACAGGAAACTTCTTTTACTCTTGCTTTTTTTTCTTTATAAGCAAACATAAAGCCTTGTCTGTGGACATATAAGTTATGAGTAACAGTAAACAAATATGCTAAATCAACATAGCTAGATGCAGTAATTACAGTGCATCAGCAGTGGCTGACATCTGCCAGTTCCTTTGGTGATTAAAATACAATAAATTAAAAAGTAGATTAAACGTTTCATTTCAGAGTGCTTAATGTGTTTGTTCTTGTGCCTCCACTTGCATTGTTCATATTTTGGGGTTGCCTCTTAAAGAGGAAAGAAAAAAGGGAGGGAAACAGGGGATGAAGTGGAGGGTACAAAATCCTGGCAAAACAACATGCTTTCTAAAAATCTAAAGCTAAATTAAAAATACATCGGGTGTGTATATATATATAAGTTTTATTTTTTACAAACACTTTTCCTTGAGAATCATCGTCCTCTTTGAGCTAATGCCTTTTCCAGGACTGGTTCTGTTACTTTCTTGGCAGTAGATCTGGTTTAAAGTGAACTCTTGTTATCTCAAAGATGTGCCTGTGGGTTTGTCAGTTTAATTGTGCATAGTCCCACTATCTACCTCAGTTCTGTGAAATTGTTTTATTAAAAAAATACCCAACAAACAAACAAAAGGAAAAACAAAACAGAAAATGTTTATTAAGACTGAATCACTTAGCAAATAGGTTAGTTCACAGCCAGAGAAAGAGTTGTCTTGGCAGGAATGAATGCTGTACTTTTCTTAATCCATGGCTACATAAATACTTTACAGCGGCATAAGTTGTTGCTGCCACAGGAAGAAAAGATGTTGCTTTCATTATTGCATTTGTCCTTGTTTTCGCATACCCCTTGGCAGAAGAAACATTTTTTTGGCAGCCAGGCAGTACGCTAAGTCAAGAAAATGCTGTGGCTGAAAATAATTGGTGTAATTTTATGTTAGTTTCCAGCTGGAGCGATTCTCCAATCTGGTTCCCCATGTGCCTCCCCAAATGTGGTGAAGAAGCATTTAGAGGCAGTATCAGGCTTATGCTTGCTTAAAATGCTTGCTGAGCTGTGCCCTCACAGTGAATTTGCTACTGAAAGAAGAGTAATCTGGAGTTATGGTTGTTCATATACTTGAATCTGAGTTTGCTGAATTTCTGCTTAAATTTAAAAAAAAAAAGAGAAGAAAAAAACCCCACAGGGAACAGTATTATGTAAGCCAAACATGTTTCAGAGTCTTTTTAAGAAGCAAAGACTGATGTTTTTTATGAGTATTGATAATGACACAGAAGGGACATGTTGTAAATGATAACCAGTTGAGGTTAATTTATTAAACACAGAGCCAGGATTTGAGCAGTAACTCTGCTTTTTGTCCACTGATCTTAATCTATGGTGTCTGTCAAGCCACTTAATCTGTCTGCTTTTCTATTTCTTCTGTTTTTAATTACAAAATTGCCTGACTTGAACTGTTGATCAAAGCTACAGTCCTACGTAGTACATAGGCTGGATTGTTCTATAGAATCTACTTATTTTGTAGCCAAGTCAATGGGGGAAGAATATCAGTGTTACGTATGCTATTTACTGTCACTTTGGTATGTTCAAAATGGGAGGCATGAACTTCATGTGAGTTATCAGTGTTCTTTTGGGGGAGATTGAAAGGTGTAGGGTTTTTCCCCCCACCTTCATCTCAGATTCTAAAGTTGTGTTTTGACCTGGTAGTTTTCCTTATCTATTACCACTTTTTTGAAGCTTTATGTTTGTCCAGATGCGGTCAGTGATTTTGACAGACTTAATGTGCTTAGTGAAACACTGAGAAGCTTATTATTATTTTAATCTGTGGAAAGTTTTTGTAGAATATATGGTGTCTGTTAACTGTGCTGCTGTTGATGTTGCCTGTCATACATGCTGTTTTAGCATTAACTTACCTTGAGTTCAACTTTGGACAAAAGTCAGGTTGTGCTTTTTCTTCTAATTGTTTACGATCCATGGGTGGAGTGTTTGCTTAGTCGTATGAGTGGTAAGAGAACAAGAACCCTGTTTTGCTGACATCCCCTACCTTACTTTTAATCCTGTTCCCATGCGAAACTAAACTCCCATCTTCCCCCACTGCACCTCTGGAATTCCCAAAACCTCAAAAGCCATGAACAGACCCAGTTTAGTACATGAAGACTCCATCAGCTCAGTCATACCAATATGGGCTCCCACGGGAACCCCTCAACAGCTGGAATACTGGCTCTTCTGGTGGTCGTGGTTTGTGAGGAAGGACAGGTTGGGGAGGGAGGGGGTGTCATAACAGTGTTTTCCCTTGAAAGCTGTTTTTAGTTGGAGTCAACGAGAACTTATGAAGTACTTGTGAACAAAAATGTTTGTCAAGAATTTCAAATAAAGTGCTGTTTTGAGTACTGGAGGGCTCCAGAGGATTTTTAAATCAAAAGATCTAAAAACTGAGCATTTGTTGTAAAGATAGTAAATTCTATGCTATTTAGAGTAATAATTAGGAGAAGGAAAAGATAACCTAGATAGAGGGGAAAAATAGTAAGATGAATAATGTAAATTAAATTACAGGGTTACAGTGGGAATATGCACCTTTTTTAAAATTTGTGGATAGCTTTCTGGTGGGGGAACAAGGTCAGCCTTGCAACAGCAACAGATAGTAAGTACGGGGTCTTACAGAAGCAGCGCTGTGCTTTCTGGAAGCCAGGGATGTTTTGGTAAAAAAACCTGACCCTGCTTAACCCACAATTTACATAATCTTCTCATGGATAATAGAGCGTTAATTGTATTCCAGTTTCTGTATATGCAATCTAAGTTTTAGGCAAAAGCTTCCTAGTGGATAAGGTGAAAGACACAAATGACGAGAACGGATGCTCGCTGAGTAGTTTTTCATCTTGGAATATTCCTTACTTATGCATGCATGAAATTTAATATGGAGATTGCAAAATGAGGTGGTTTTGTCCTTATAATGAAGTATCATTAAAACAAGGTCTTACATAAACCAGTCCAAGAGCTCTGTGGAATAGCAGGAATTAGCTAAGCTGTTTACAGTTTTGGAGTAATGCTTACAAAATAAGATAGAGGACTGTATTTGTAGTGATTATTTTAAATAAAATTAAGAAATCTA